GACACGGGTTCAATTCCTGGGGCAGGAAGGTCCCTTGGAGAAGGAAATGGCAACCCACTCCAGTATTCCTGTTTGGGAAATCCCATGGACCAAGGAGTCTGGCAGGCTACAGTCCATGGGGTCACAAAGACTTTGACATGACTTAGCAATTAAACAACAACAATAATTGCTAATTATATTTAATAAATTCTTATGTGTTTATTTCCATCTACATATATCCTATCCAGTGAAATGCCTGTTCATTGGTTTTGCCCATGTTCTAAATGGATTGTTTGTGCTTTTACTACTAAGTTTTTTTAGCTTTTTATATATTTAACATTCTAGTACTTTGTCAGGTGTGTGGTTTGCAATTTTTTTCTTCACAGGCTTATTAGTTTGTTTACAGTATCCTTTGCAGAGAAAAAATTTTTTTATATAAATTCCAGTGTATCAAACGTTCCTTTTATGGTTCACGCTTGGATATCAAGTGTAAAACCTCAGTGTTAAGCTCAAAATCTCAAAGATTTTCACCTAATTTTTCTAAAAGTTTTCTATCTTACGTTTAAGTTTATGGTTCATTTTGGTTTAATTTTTGGTACAATGTATGAATGTTAGTTTGAGGTTCATTTCTTTGCCTATGATGTTGAATTATTCCTTCATTGAATTGTTTCACAGTTTTTCCAACAGTGTAGCATATTTTTGTGGGCATATTTCAGGTTTCTCTATCATTTCCATAGATGTATGTGTCTATCCTTCCCTCAGTGTTACACAGTCTTGACTTCTGAAGCTATATATTGTTCTAATATCAGATAGAATGATTTCTCTCACTTTATTTTTCTTTTCCAAGACTATTTTAGTTATTCTAATCTTTGTGCCATTCTATGTAAATTTTAGAATAAGCCTCTCTGTGTCTGCAAAAAGCCGTGTTTTGATATTTAGGAGAATTGTACCAAACTATGAACCAATTTAGAAATAATTTGACATCTTATTATGCTGAATTTTGTAATCCGTGAATATGATATGCCTCTCCATTTATTCAGGTCTTCTTGGGATTTCTTTCATTGCATTTTGACCAACAGATGAAATAGCACTTCTTGTATTTTTTTTGAACTTATACCTAATATTTTATTGCTCTTGGGGCAATTGTAAATGATACTAAGCCTTTAATTTTGTTTTTTACATACTCATTGTAGGACATATAAATATTGTTGCTCTCAAATCCTGTAACTTGCTGAACTCCCTCCCTTTGTACTTCTAGGAGTATATTTGTAGTATCCTTGGGATTTCTAAGTAGACAACCATAGCACTGGAAAAATAGAGACAATCTTATTTCTTCTGCCTTTAAAAAGGCGTCTGTATGCCTTTTTATTTCATTTTCTTGCCTTTTCACAGTGGTTTGAACTTTCAGTACTATATTGAGTGAGGGGTGAAAAGTAACATTCTTGCCTTGTTCACAATCTTAGAGGAAAACATTCAATTTTTCTATAAATTCATTTTTAAACATTTACATGGTATGAACATAAGAGATTCTGAACTAAGTGTCTAAAAGCAAAGTGTGTTAGTCATTCACATGTGTCTGACTCTCTGCAACCGCAAGGACTGTAGCCTGCCTGGCTCCTCTGTCTGGGAGATTTTTCAGGCAAGAACACTGGAGTGGGTTGCCATTTCCTTCTCCAGGGGATCTTCCCAACCCAGGGATCAAACCCAGGTCTCCTTCATTGCAGGTAGATTTTTTACCGTCTGAGACACCTTTAAAACAGGTGAGTGAAATGAAGCCATGGCAAAAGCTGGAACACAAACTTTCAAACCCTGAGCTTTAACCAGAAGTTAGAACAGGTATCAAGGAAGGACAGTATCAGTGTGAATTATAAAAATTCATTTTATCACTACGGATAGAATCAAAATGTATCAATGATATTCTGAGTTTAAATTTAAGATTATCAGTTAAATTATGATGCTCAGACATGTTATAGTTAAATGGTAGCTGTTAAATGGGAAACAGTTACACATATATAAATGTTTATAATTCTAGAATGAGCAGTAAATTATGTGTAGTTTTTCACACTGAGGATCAAAGTATTTTTTCTGTATCTCTTAATTGAAATTCTATAAGAAGTTCTGCCCAGTAGTAAGGAGATTGTTTGTAAAAAGGATTATTGAGCAGGCTTTAGTAGATACACATCTTACCAAATATACTAACAAAAGTAATAAATATTCTCAGAGACACTATAGATAGAAACACATTTGATATATTTGACATGTACAACTGCATAGCTCTAAAGCTTGGATCTTGACGGAGACTGGTGAAATGATTTACACTGACTCATTTGAAAGCATATGTAATTTTCAAAAATATGAATTCTTTTTTAAAGCTGTATTTTTAGTGTAGCTAAAATTTTCAGATGCGTAAAATAAAAAATTATGCATATTGGAAATGAGACAGTCATGGTCTCCTGGTTTTCCATTTGAATTAGGCAAATATGGATTGGGTAGGTAGCATGTCTCCTGAAAATAGGGTTACATTTTGTAAGAGTGATTAAGTGGTCCAGTGCTCAAAGAGTGAGATAACATTTTGAAATCAGCCAGGAGCTCAAAGAACCTAAAAAATGTTGATGAGTGCTCTTAGAAGGCTCTCAGGAGCAAGTTAGTTTCAATTTTCTGATTACTGCAACAGAAAAAGAGAGACTGCTACTGCCATCTGTTGATCAAATAAAACATTGTTCACTCCGCACAGCTGATTTCCTTGCTGCTAAGCAAAATCTTCCCCTAAAAGGGGAAGGCTTTGTGCTAGCCCTGACTGCATTAATTCTGATAAACCTGGTGTTCTATCAGAAAACCAAACAAAAGGACATTGTTCAAATAAACCTCTCTCTGCCCTGTGCATTGCCCTGATCTTCCCTGGTGTTTTTTGTTTAAGAAAGGGAAAATGTGTCCCAACAAAACTCAAGACATCTGCAAAATCAGCTTAGCTCAGAACTAAAGGAAGAATGATTCACTGTGTTTTCAGGTTGTGGGGGAAGGGGTGCCGAGGGGAAGGAAGGAGGGAAAACAGAAAGAGATGAGTGGTGGAAAAGAAGGGACAGCAAAGAGAAGCTGTGAGCTAGCAGTCATCCCTGGGATGGGGCACAAGAATTTAGAAATACCTTTTTATCATTCTGAAGAGAGCATCATCCTCAGGAAATGACCTTTAGCTAGGATGCTAAAATTCTTTTCCCTTTTATTCAAGGTGTGAACACCAAACCAACTGCATCAGCATCACCTGCTTACTTCTTGAAAATGCAGATTCTCAGGTTCAATCCAAGAATCAGAATATAATTCAGAAGTTAATTTTTCTTAATAAAATTTGCTTTTTAAAAAAGATTCTCAGACAACTCTTATGTATATCAAAGTTTAAAAAAGGATATTCTATACAGTTGGCAAACAGTAAATGGGAGAGCGGAAAATTCCTAATTTGTATTCACGTGATCCACTAGTAGGAGAGGCAGGAAAGCAGATATCAATGAAGCTGCTTCGCACATAACAAAGGTAACCACGAAGGTTGCATGAAATAGTCTGGTTTCTAGTTCTCCCAGGCTAATTATTCATGCACCCCCATGCACTCTCGCAGTGGTTATGGAATGGAAAACAAACCATATGGTGAAACTCCAGATTGTGAACTATGATCATTCATGAACAATCAGAATTAGCCCTCATTCTTAGTGAGTTTGGGAAATTCAAAAAGAGTGGATTCCATTCAGTTTACTCAGCGTACGTCAGTCAAGTAGGTGGCTACAAGACACTTAAGTCAGAAAGATAAACACAGATATATTTGCCTGACTTGACCCAAACCATTTACAAATACAATCTCTAAGAATAACGGGATCCTACAGCTAGATCCTCAAGGCAGGGATTCTCTCTGCTGACATCAGTTTAGAAATAAGCATTATTTATTACACTATATAAATGATACTAATAATGTTGCTGATGATATCTTCCCATTAAAGGTTGCACTCACGGCTGTGTAAGTCTTCTCCTGCTGAGAAATGGCCCACAGGTTAAGTCAAGTATAAATACTACCGTGTGCCAACCAAGAAAAATGAAAGTAGCACAACTTCAAAATAATTACGGCAAAAAGCCATTTCCTATTGTCACTCGGGGTTTTAAAGGTTTTTATAATATAATAAAAACACACCCTAGTGATTTGTTGTTTCACAACATACATCTTCTTTCACAATTGAAAAACTTATTAAACATACAGTCTATCATCTTAATTGGTAGGAAAGCATGACTGAGTCCTGAGCAGAATGAATTCCCTCAAGTGCACTTAGAAGATCTGTTCAGCTTAGAGGCATTTTCATGCCGCGTAGATGCAGGGATCACTCAGTTTCAACCCACTGATCTCTGAAAGTCTAGAAATACTTCCTCTATCTTCATGTACAGTATTTCTCCCCGTGCTATTTGAATATATAGTGAAGGAATAGTTACCAAGTAACTTTTTAAGTGTATGGATCAGTGGAATGATATTTTCAAAACATAAAAGCAGAGAAATACTAGCACAATTACAAGCGAAGAAAAAATAGAAGGAGGAAAAAGAGAAAAGCAATTCAAAGTTATCTTTTACATCTGGATAAAAGAAGTTTATATCTCTAACATTTTGCTTGTGGAATTTTGCTCTTGAAACAGCAAGTAAGGATCTTAGATTTTCTGGCTCTAAATTTTGGGGAGTGAAACATATTGAAAATCCAAACCTCGTTAGTCTAGAGAGACAACTTACAATGCTTCATTTTTTCTCCTCAATGGTGCAAATTTAGCTTTACTATGCAATGGAATATTCTCACACATGGCTTATATAAGCATGATCTCAATCTCTGCCTTTCCTCTTTTTTCTTTGCATGAAAAATGGGTAAAGAGTATTAGACCAGTAGAAAAGTCAAGGAGGAAAAAAGTACGTGATTTGTTTGAAATACACTGTGTAATAAAAACTGGATTACTAATATTTCTTGAGAAATAAAAATAGAAAAGGTAATAAAATCAAAGCTAACCTTTTCCCCCCACTTGGGTTTAGTCCTGTTTCACTTGCTCATAGGGTGCAGCATGCAGAAGACTTGCACCTGGCACTTTAGACCAGAATTCCCAGTGTGAAACGGCTGCGCTGACACCTCAGCTCAGACCTTTAACAGAAGCACCGCAACCAACACTCAATTCAAGATGGTGGCGGCGGGCCGTGTGCAGAGACTAGTCCTTCGGCCCAGTGGTTTAGAGCGAGAGCAGCACAGTCCCGCGAGAACTCCAGCCCCTCCCCGTTGCTGCTGCAATATCGCTTCAGTCGTGTCCAGGCAAGAACACTGGAGCGGGCTGCCATATGAGATCCCTCTAAAGCAGCCTGGTCCAAGCTGGCAGGAGATGTGTGCTGCAGCTGCTCTAGAGCCGGACCTCGTAATTGTCCATTCTCTAATTAGAGAATAAGGCTTTCCTTTGCTAAAAACAAACAAACAGACAAACAAACAAAAAAACTGGGTTATTAAAATATACTCCTATCCTTGAACTTCATAGTTGATTTCCTACACTTTCTACTTTCATCATATAACTTTTTTTCCTTTTCTGGATTGTGTGATAAAATTATTTGCTGGGTTGATTTGTCCATATTCTCATTGAATCTGTACAACCAGCTCTGTATTCCAGGTGTTCTTAATATATCTAATTTGTTCTCCTTGCTGTAAAAACTGAAGTTAGGAATGAGTTTTTTTCCAACCAGTCAATCCTAAAGGAAATCAGTACTGAATATTCATTGGAAAGACTGATGTTGAAGCTGAAACTCCAATATTTTGGTCACCTGATACAAGAACTGACTCATTTGAAAAGACTCTGATGCTGGGAAAGAGTGAAGGCAGGAGGAGAAGGGGACAACAGAGGATGAGGTGGTTGGATGGCATCACTGACTCAATGGACATGAGTTTGGGTAAACTCCGGGACTTGGTGATGGACAGGGAGGCCTGGTGTGCTGCAGTCCATAGGGTTGCAAAGAGTTGGACATGACTGAGCGACTGAACTGAACTATTTTTCCAAGATCTTTCATGTTCATGTTCATACTCAGTCATCTCTGACTCTTTGCAATCCCATGGACCTAGCCTGCCAGGCTCCTCTGCACATGGAATTTCCCAGTCAAGAGAATTTCCAATACTGGAGTGGGTTGCCATTTCCTTCTCCAGGGGTTCTTCCTGTCCTCTCCTGCTTTGATAGGCAGCTTCTTTACCAATGAGCTATCAGGGAAACTCTTTCCAAAGTCATATATGAATGATTAATTATAGCATAAGTCTCTGATTAAAAGGCCATAATAAGACCTACCAATTTTTTAAGTCTACCACGTGTCAAGCACTATAGAAATGATCTCAACAAAGCTGAAAATTGGTATTGTTTTACAAATGAAAAAATTAAGATGCAGAGAAAAGAAGTGATATGCTGAAGGTTACAACATAGAGTTCAGAAGTGAACTCTTATCTCTGTGGTACAAAACCTGCACATTTTTTACTATACCAATTTTGTGGTAATTAATATGTTACATGAAAGTATCAACATTAGCTGTGCTGTTTCAGGCCTTATATAAGGTGTGAAAACCTGGTATCTCTTTAAGTTAGAAAAGATCTAAATATGAGGACTAGTTTAGGCAGATAATAACCATGGAGAGTCTACACAAGGCCCAACTACTTATAAATTTGTGGGGGAAAGCTAATTTTGCCTTACAGAAATCACATATAATTTTAATTTCTCCCTGACAAACAGGAGTTTATGCACTTTCTCATAGTAAAACAAACTCACAAATATGAATTGATAAGAAATCTTACTTATTGAAGGGCTTACCTGGTAGCTCAGAGGGAAATCTTTTTATTTGATGCCTAAGACTCATTCCACAATTTATTCCATTTTATCTTTAGTTTTCCTTTGGAAAACAAAAATCTTCATAGTAATTTAAACAATAGCAAAACTTTGAAACTCATCTCTCTATGGAGATATTTTTTCCTTATTGTTTTTTTCCCAATTTACACTTTTTTTTTTTTTTTTACTGAAAACTATAAGTCTAGTGATATGTTTATAGAATAAAAGTAAAGGGGAAGATCCAAGTAATTATCCTCAGTACATATATTTCCTCTACATAGAAGTGAGGGACAGAAGAGAGAAGTTGGTTTTCTATGATGAGTTAACACAATTGACTCCATGTGTCAATTATAAGCACTGTAATCATAAAAGGCTTATCTTTCCTCTCTTTTTGCCTGTAGCTATAATGAGAAAAGGGAGAAAATAAGTTGATTTTACTAGTAAATACTCATGCTTTGCCTAATTTTGAATTGGGCAAAATTCAACTGTTTGAGCACATGGTAGAAATCATGTTTATTTTAGTCCTGAGACCCTGAGATATTTTTCTAGCACATGGTAGGCAGAGACCTTTATTTATGCATTTAGATCATGTTTTTATTTATGCCTTAGTATTTTTAAAAATACCAGCTCAAACTGTAGGCCAATTCATAATGCCTTCTGCATAACTGTGTGGGAGTTAAACCACAAATATTATCTATATTTGTGTCAGGCCGCCCCACCCGTTGGCTGTCTTCACAGCCCCGGTTTACCAGGACTGACACTTTTGGGCAGCAGTGGCGCCGCATCCATTTGGCACAGCTGTCTACATGGGACCTTCCATCTGTTGTCTTTCTTTGGCACGAAATTAGTGAATAAAGTCATGTAAAAATGTGTGGCTAGTCATTGGGGATGCCTGCATTACGATAACGGAGACTGCTCATCTGGTAGTGTGACCCATGGTTTCTGAATTATCTCCTCACCATGCAGCTTTTTGGCTGGTCTGATAAACGTATGCCAAATTCCCCATACTCAAGAGCAGCATGCAGATGAGCAGAGTGCATGAAGTGGTGTATCTTAGTGGAGAGATGTCACCTCGATCTTCCAGCTGGTTGGCAAATTCTCACTGAACTATTTGAATAGCCCCTTAGTTTGGGTTTTACGGGACCTACCTTCTTGGAGTTAAAGAACTGTACTCCATGGCTGTGTGTATACTGCTGTTCAGTCCCAGAGACACTGATCACCCAGTTGAGTTGCAGAACACTTTCATAGAAGTCTACAGATTTGTGACCTGGACAAAGAGATATTTCCAGAGGAGTTACCAGTCAATCATAAATACTTACAATACTTAACAATATGTCTAGATGTTTAAAAGGAGACAGAGGGAGTGAGAGAGAGAGAAAGAAATTATTGGTGATGACAATAAAAAATGAAACTGGCCAAAAGTTTGAAAGAACTTTGAGGATGTGAAGTTACTTAGGTTTACGGTCAGGCAAGTTCGAATGCAGCAGGTAGCTTGCTAATAGGTGTGGGAAGTTAACTGGGATTCATACATGGGGTAAAGTTAAAGGATCATTGAATCATCCAAAATATTCAACAGGTATCTGTAATATGGGAGATTGTACAAGAAATGGGGAAACGAAGTGACATAAGACACTCTCTTTACTCAGGATCTTACAATCTACCATCAGAAGTACATACTATTAGAAAAACAAGTAGTAATTCACACCAACAAATTATAATACTAAGTAAGAGATTCCAACAGTAAATGCAACATAAGGTCAGAAACATGGAGTTAGGTGGCCAGGAAAAAATGAGTGAATGAAGTGAAATTTAAAATAGTCTTTAATAGGTAATCTAGTCTCAGTTATGTGGAATGCACACCTCAAACATTGTTTTCTATCCAACATGTATATTAATCAAGCATAAATAACATTTGTGTCAGGAATAGTGGGAAAAAGGGAGAATTAAAGCAAAAAAGTTATGAATCATAGAGTCATAAATTTGGAAGGGATAAGAATGCAACCCAGCTTAAATGTAGCATTCACAACCATAACTTTTACAATAAGGATGTCTCTACGAAAGCACTTTACAGTGACAAGGGGCACCCTCTTAGGTACATTATGCCTGGATTGTGTAGAACTATTCATGCCAAGCTTAAAAGTTTATGAATTACTCTTTAGGAGACAAATAATCACTGAAAATCACTGAAAATATTTAAGCAAGGGAGGTATGTATTAAAATATATTTGCAGATGATATGTATTAAAATCCATCAATCAAAATACCAGTTTTCTGATCCAATTGGAAGATCTAAGCAGGTGACGTGAATTATGTGAAGTGCGGTAAGCAGCAGAAATGGTGAAGTGATGGGTCCACTGTTAAAAGAAGTTGAAGAAAATGCTAGTTTTGCGGGAAACAAACACTGATTTCAGGTTTGGCATGCTCATTTTGAGTTAAGAGTGGAGCAGAACAGAAATTTAGCATGAAGGCAAATATACAAGACTGATACTTTGCAGGGTGCCTACAGATTGAGAGAGAAGACTGGGCTTGATCACTGGGCATAGGGTGAGGTTTTCACCCTATATCACAATGGAAGTTAAGACTGTAAGTGTAAACAGAAGCCATAATTGTCATGAAATTGAAAATATTCTATATTTTTGTTTTAAAACTGACTGGTTCAGATTTTAATCAGTTTTTCTTCCCACATATTCAAAAATATTTCAGTTCTGCTTTCTGTCTATCGACTGTGCAGTAAAATGCAACCCTAAGATGGAGCAGAGTCCTTCTACTGGTCAACTATTTACTGATAAACTTCATATACTCACAGCATCGCTGTTGCCTTATTAAGTGGAGAACAGTAACAGAAGTATTTACATATACATGTTTCTTCCTTGCAAAATGAAGTGGCATTAAATTCTACTTTTCCCTCCTACCACCTGCATTCCAAACACCAAAACAAAAAGGCTAAAACCAAAAACCAACAAAAAAACCACATGAATTGTAGGGTTTCCTTCAATATCTAATTTCTGCATTCAGATAAATGCCAAAAAACTTGATGTGATGGCTGGCTAAAGATAAACATAAAGCAAATAAGTGGAGAGATCAATAAACAATATGGTCAAATCCATTCCACGAAATATTTTTACTGCACCATATTGAGTTAATACAAATGCCTTTGGTACAAAAGCAAAATTATTTCTGAAACAATAGAAAATCTGTTCTTAAGTATAAAAAAAGCACTGCACATGAGTTCAGTGAAGAAAAGAACCAGATGTTACACATACTTTAAAAAAACACAATCCCTATGCAGTTACCCATGAAATATTCAACACATACATAAGTTTAGGGTTTACTGC